CTCGTCTTCTTTGCCTTCTTCGATCGTGATGTGGAAGACATCTTGGACTTCCTCCTCAGTGTCATCCTCTTAGGCTTGTTGGCATGAAGATTGTCCAGTGTGGATGATGGTGCGCCTTCTTACTTTCAGTGGTCCATTTGCGTCAACCTCCAAGATTGCTTGACGCTCCATCCTTGAAGGAATTGAGCTTCGAATATCTCCTTTTTCTGCTAGCCTGTCGAGCTTTTCTTCCTTTGACTTTGTCTCCTTATTTCCAAAAGACTTCTTGTTGTCTTCAAGTCTTTCCAAAGCTGACTGACGATGAGAAGAGCTAACCGTGTTGCTTTGCTTCTTAGGTTTTGATAACCTTTCAAAAACAGAGTTTTGGGATGTTGGCCTGTTAAGCCTCTTGAAGACGGAGGTTCGGTTTTGACCACCAATGCGATCAAGTGCTGACGTTCTGGGTCTTGAACGATTCATCCTATCGAAGACTGGCGGTCGAGGGGTGGATTTAGGCTCCTCTTGATCTTGTTCAATGCTCACGCTGATGTGTTGAGTGCTAGCATTTTTCGCTTTGCTTGAAATCTTCACGGGTGCATATGGTGTGAAGCCAAGTCCAGCTTTGTTGTTGGTAACTCCGTAACCATGCTTCTTCAACTTTTTTTTAGTCTCCGTGATGTCGCGTTCTTTATTGTTGACGGTGTTTGAAACCTTCTTTCCAGGATTCGAAGAAGAAACGAAATTGTACCCAGCTTTCGACATGAGTTTGTAGGCGTTTGGATCAAAACCTTCTTCGGTCCTCTTGGTTGGGAGAAAGCTTGGTTCCACCCCCTTTGGTAGAGCTTTTACGAAGCCTTGTGGTAATCTTGCAACCTTAGCGTCGCTTAGCTGTGTCAGAGGCAAAACTGCATTCGTCTTGAGCAACTTTACATTATCCCTGTGCCGCTGTGCATCGGCTTTGCTTGCTCCAGTTTCGAACGGGGATTGACCATTCTTTCTTCTTGACATCGGGATGTATCGGAAGACGGGTGTGTTTGATCCATTTAAGGGCGTCCTGCTCCCTTTAGTTGTTGCAAGTTTAGCAAGCTCATCATCGTTCTTGCTTGAATACGGCATAGCTTCTTCTTCTTGCTTATTGGGCATGGCTTGCCACTCCTGCCTTTTAGGTGTTGCTTTGCCTGTGGATTTGATCTCTTTTGGAAGAGCTTCGGGCACCATGTCTTCATCCATGTAGAACTTGGTGTCTACGAAATGTGATTCAGCTTCGGTGAATGGTTTGGTGTCGCCATAGATCACTTTCACTCCTTCTCGGTAGAATTTTAAGCATTGGTGAAGGGTGGACGGTACTACTCCATTCGCATGGATCCAAGGCCTTTCTAAGAGCAAGTCGTAGGAAGTTCTTACATCAATCACGTGGAATATTGTACTTGACTTGAGTTCACCAATAGTCATCTCCACTCGGATCATGCCCATCGCTCATTGTCCTCCTTAATTAAAACCTTGGATTAGTAAACGACTTAGGGACAGTTCATCCGCCTCGATGCCGATTGTAATCATTGTTGACTTTGGCATGATGTTTATGGCTGATCCACCATCCACAAGCATGCAGTTGACTTTGTGCTCCCTTACGTACCCAGAGACGAAGAAAGGACGGTTGTTAGGCTTGGATCCTAGCAGCAAGTCTTCATTGGTGAAGTGGATTGTGTCCTCGATGACACAGCATATGGCACATTCATGTGGCCAAAGCTTCAAGCCTTCGTTCTTGTTTTCTTGCACTTCGTGATCGTCAGGACTTGCCAGGACTGCTGCCAGTGTTCTTCGCATCTTCTTTGGTAATCGTAGCGCTTCCTCGATGCTAAAGTGTGTTGGCAAACCTTCTTCGAGCGTAAGAGTTTTTTCTCCCTCAGTGGCGATAGCTTTGCCTTTTAAGGGCTCTTCCATTTCTACTTTGACCATGTGACATGCAACGATAATGCACTGTTAGAAAAAGTCCTCCAGGAAGTACTCATGCAAAGAGATAGGAATGCATGGCTCTTGCTCCATAGATTCCACAGCATATGTGGCTTAGCTGCTTTTACGTTTCTTTTGGGCTTCCTACTGTTGCGGCGACGGTGCTTTCTCCCTTGTTCCACCTTTGGTCTTGTGGCTTGTGGTTTTGGTTTCCTTGTTTTTTTGTAGGTCACCAATGTCCATCATTCTTCATCATCGGTATGTGCATCTTGTTCGTTTGCCCCCGGCGATGGTTGCGTAGAAGGTATTGTGTGACTTGAGCATTGATAGGAATGGTCAGGTGTCGCTTGGAGAGGCACGGGATCAAATGATCCAAATGCAATTGTAGTAGTATGTGTTGCGGCCGTGTCTTCGAGGTCGAGCTCGATTTTCCTTTGTTGCGCTAGCTTCATAATGAGTTATTTAAGGATGAAGCACTTGCCAATAGGATAGCTCACGATACAATGGTACTTGCAGTACCTAGGATCGTTCACGCGATTGAGTTCTTCAGGGCGCTTGCATTCTTGTAATTCAATCACCTTCTTTTCCAGCAAGTCGTCTAACATTGCATCCATGTCTGAGTCAGGAAAAGGGTACGCCTTCTGCTCCAATTCCCTCAAGGTACTTTTGTACCTGTCTTGGGTGCGAAGAGGCTCACCTCTCTTTATCTCCTTTGCTTTATTTTGAATAAGATTTTGATAGGCGCGGATGAGGTTTTGACAGGCGCAGCATTGATTGTAAAAGCTTCCTTGGTGGGCTTTTTCCCAGTTTTATCTACATTTGGGGCAAACACTTTGTCCTTCTTAAAGTTGGTGATTGGCTCTTTTTTTTCATGGTGAGTAATGCTTAGCTCCATGTCGTGGGCACAGGTGGCTAACTCTTCAAAGGTCCATAGTTTGATGACTTGAAAGATATAGTGTAACCTCCATTGCATGCCTTGGACGCACATCTCGATTGAAGAGATCTTCGAGAGCCTGTCATTGCAGTCGAGGCTTAGATTGCGCCATCGGTTGATATAGTCCACGACTGGCTCACCCCTCCATTGCTTCGTGTTCGTCAGCTCTAGCATGCTTACAGTGCGGCCGGTGCTGTAGAAGCGGTTGAGGAATTCTTTTTCCAATTGCTCCCAGCTGTTGATGGACTCAGGCTCTAGGTTCGAGTACCACTCAAAGGCATTTCCTTTCAACGAGCGTACAAACTGCTTAGCGAGGTAATCTCCTTCTGTCCCCGCGTTGTTGCAAGTCTCAATGAAATGGGCAACGTGTTGCTTCGGGTTTCCTTTTCCATCGAACTGCATGAACTTTGGCGGTTGATAACCTCTCGGCATCTTCAAAGCGTTAATCTTTTTGGAGTAAGGTTTTGAGTATAGTATGGAGTTATGTGAACTTCCTTCGTACTGCGCCTTGATGGTGCTGGCGATCATCTCTTGTAGCTGCTGGATAGAAAGAAATCACATGAGTGTCGCTGCTTGGTCTGGCTCCGGCTTCACATCGGCTTTCTCCACCAGAGGCTCATCTTCTTCGCCAGCTTCTTTTTTTAGTGGATTACCCTTTAGGTCGGGTTTATTGTCTTGCTGCGCCTCCAGTTGGTTAACGAGTGCAGCGATTTGTGAGTCTTTTTCTTCCACAATTCGTGTTAGCCTTGCGATCGCTTCATTCATATGAGCCAGCTGCTCATCGATTGAAGTCGCTCCAGTGGTCATGACTTGCATGGCTGAGCTGCCGCTTGAGTCGGCATCGGAAAGCATGGAACCAGAGCACTTCCTTGGGCTTTCCTCCCTTGACGCCCTTAGCGAGGCCAGGGTGATCACAGGTTCGTGCCTCAGGTGCTCTTGTTCCTTCGGCGGAGTTGATGCAGGGGTAGAAGAGGTGGCAGAAAGAGCTCTTGCCTTGCTTCGAGTTGTGATGCCCGAAGTGATACCACCTGCGGTGACGACGCTCTTGTTCCTTGCATTGGTTCTGAGAACAACTTGAGCCTTCTTTGATGCCATTTATGCTTTTTGCGGATTCAAAGATAGAGATGAGAGGTAGAGAAATGTCCCACCGAGCGTGCCAAATTTGTAAACACGGGATTTCCTGCGATGAACGAGACAATAACACATGTACAAAATAATATTTGTATTAATGATTTAGGGGTTACAATCTCTTCTACAAATTTAGCCTCTGATTCTATCTTTGTAATGGGTAGATTTGTTGATGTTGTTGATCCAAAGGGCCGTCGGGGCTTGATCTTTAGGATGAACAGATAATGAATGATGGACACTTTCTTCAAGGGCCGTCGGGGCTTGATCTTGAATTAGTGGAAGTTTCTTCAAGGGCCGTTGGGGCTTGGTCTTGAAGGAGGATTTTGACGAAGAACGAAGAGGGTTTTCTTGATTCTTCGGGATTTGCTTGAGAGCTTTAGAGTTTTGAAGTTTCAAGGCTTTGGTGTGGTGTGAATTCTCTTCCAATTTGGGAGTAGAGAAAGTGTATGTCAATTTCCTCCTTATTGCTTGATGGAGAAGCCTATTTATAGGCTTTGAGAATGAATCACCACCACCCATTTGTTTGGTGAAGTAAGTGGATTTTGTAGGTGGGATGAGTGTGTGTTGTAGGTGAAATAAATGGGGGTTGTAATTTTAATACAATTGTCAATACTTATTTCACCGAAATTTCAATGTCTACAGTAATGTTAAATGTTGTTTCTATACAAAGGTCTTTGTTAGAGCATTATTCCTTCTTAATGACCCAACTATAGCATATACCGAATATATATATATATATATATATATATATATATATATATATATATATTTTACAAGTAGAAAAAAAATTAATTTGTTAGAAATATCAACGGCAAACCCTATTCCGAACTCTAGTTTTAGTTCCTGAAAGTTTCTTGTTAGGAGGGAGATTGGTGGGGGATAAACCCAATCAAAATGCATAAGAACGATTGTTTTCTGCCACTGCGAAAAGTAAAAATGAACCAACCGCAACTTAGGGAACATTCACAACATCCATTTCAAAATTCAGTCAACAATCAAGGGTTTCATCTGCAAAAAAATTTGGCTACGACTTCATTGCTCAAGGAGAAAATTTGTTCCCATAATTTACTAGAACAGCGTACAGAAATTAACGTTATACAGCTACAACATATACATACAGCAACAGCGTACTTAACATTACATTCAAAATCTTACAATACTTGTTTGCTGCTAACTTTTGCATGACAAATCCCCATTAACACAATAAACACAAGACCACACCATCTTTCGTTACTAGAGAAACTTAAACATGTTTGCAAAGGAAAATAATAAATATACCACAAGAATGCAACACGGAAGTTCTGCCGTCTTAGAACGTAATATGTGCATGCCTGTGTTCTTCCTTCAGATAGCTTTCAATTTGTTCAAGCGCCTGGCAAAGGGTACAGTAAAACTAAGCGATAAGAATAGGTTATAGATAACTTCATGCAAAACAGCACATAATTTGTAACCTAGTAATGATAATGCTGCAACATTTAAGGCCTATTTCGCAATGCTTACTGAAGGGCAAAAAGCACTTCAGGAAAACTAAACTGTTTCTAGCTAACTCTTTGGAGAAAACATTAAACCTCCCTCTGGGTTATAAAGCCACTTTCAAAGCTTCTTTACCCAAGCACTTGGACTTTTATTGAAAAATTTGACACGCTTTTAGCAAAAGCACTTAGGGGTAGAAGTGATTATTACAAAAGCAGTCCCCAACAGGCGTGGCCCCTTTTTTGTTTTAAAAAGGATGATTAGTTAATGTTATTTTTATATCGGAATGCAGATCGAGAGAGAGAAAGAGAGGAAACCTCAATCACAATGGCAGTAGGTGTGAGATTGGATACATCTCTATAACCCAATTTGGCTGCAATATCTGCACAACAAATAATGTAAGGTATCAATATCTTACAAGTGAAACTCTTTCGTTTATTAATTTTACTATGTCAAGACAAGAATTAAAGCCAAAAGGCTGCATACTTTCCAAGGAAACCCTAGCATTGGCATTGGCATATGAATCACCTCTCTCTTCAAAAAGACTAGTCAGACGCATATAAGTCTGCATGGAAGGCAAAGTGTCAACATACCAATGAGTTGGTTCCTTTTCGTTTGATAGACCAATCATAAAATTAAGGATTATTTTAGTGACAATTTCAGCTATAAATAAATGGCTTACTTTTCTGTATGCATCCCCTGACCCGTGATGCAAAAGGGGCCGAGAACCAGTTCCCACAGCTGCAATTCTCTGAGCCAAGGCTTCCAAGGGAACATCTAACCACACACTAATCCCCTTCTTCATACACTTCCTGATGCACCAATATGCGCATAGTAAGTTATTAACAAAGTTAACATAATATTCAGATAATTCAAAAACATAGAAAATTGTGTTACCACTAACCAGTTGACAGGGCGTACAACTGCACCTCCACCCGTAGAAACAACTAAACGATGCATCAAAGACAGTTTACGTAGCGCCTCAGTCTAAAAGAAATAAGTATAATTATATACCATAATTGCAGTAATGGAAGAGAGAAGAGTGCCAAAAAAAAATAATCAATCTACAGTGCATAACTACATTAATAGGCTGCATAGTGGAACTTTTGTGTTTCTTTACCGTCAACTATATTGAATGTCTTCGGAAAAAAAAAAAAAAAAAACTATATTGAATGGACAACTACTAAGAATGTTTCACTTTCAGACATGTATGTACGTATGTATGTATGTATGACACCAATTTTAGAAATTACAAGCTGATTACCTTAATGTTGTTTCACAATAATACAGAAAACAAAAAAATAGGTAGTTTTGAGTTCTGACTGCTAATCAGACATATTTCTCTTAGTATATCATGAAACACTAGGTAACAGTCTCCAACCATGAAATCTGCAGAAAATGAATCAACAGGAATATTTTACCTCCTTATCTCTGAAAAATCCCTCTCCATAGAGTTTGAAAATCTCAGCTACGGAAGTTCCACCAACATCATGCTCCACCAATGAATCACTAGAGCATCCACAAGAATGTACCAAAATACAGAATTCTGTTTAGTAAGAAGTAACCTAAATACGCCATTAAGGCTTCAGATAGACTTGGAAAAATGAGATAATTGACAAAAAAGAACTCTTTGTCCTTCCTCTCATCCTTTATGCAATCCCAACAGAGTATGCATTTTGTCTATAAAGACCAAACTCGAAAGTAGGCAGATTACATACCTATCAATGAATGAATAACTAAGTGCTTGTGCCATGATCTTGCCAACGGTTGTTTTCCCAGATCCCATCATACCTGCAACTCAGAATTAGTTTATTAAGTGCACAGTAATTAAATCCTAGACTATATATAAAGGCTTATAGAGAGACCTACCAACAAGATATATACAACGTCCATTCAAATATGGCTCGATTGCTAGTGCCTTATTCTGCAATTTTATTAAATCTAGTTAGACATATGCATGTGTGTGCCACACACCTAAACAAATAAATAAGTAAAATATATGGTTTTGATTTATCTTTGGACCAGAGTTCACATTCTCATTTGACAGAAGACAGATTCTGTTATTTATTAAGACGGAAAGGGGTTTGATTTACAGAATTTCACGGCCCAAACAAACTAGAAAAAGGTGTATGACACGTACCTTCAAAACCAGCGATTCATCGAGAGTATGAAAATTTCCAGATTCCACTGTCGAAGCTACACAAGTGAGATTTTAAATGAGAATTCAATACTCAGAAAGAAAATAGATTGCGTAAAGATATTTCCAGATGACAAGTAAGATTTTCTGTTATTGTGAAACCTCATTAAAACAGATTGTCAAGCCTTGAGGGCATCACACTCCAGGATTTCAAAAGAGAACCAATTCTGTTCCGCTATATGAAATTATAAACAATAAATTCAGTGATAACAAATTATTTCCATTCTCGTTTTCAAGTTGATTTGGAAATTAAGTTGGGTTAAAAATGAATGTGCGTCACAGTCATAAAGCTTGTCATCGCTGAGGCTAAATTACTATTATTGAGATTTTTCTTAAGTAAATGGTCCCGTGGTCATAAGGTATTCGGATGATAGCCTGTGGTAAAAAAATTCGGATTTAAACCCATGTGATCACAGTCTATTAGGATTTAAGCCCCTGTGGTCTAAGTCTATTAGGATTTATGCCCTTCTGTTAAATAATGCTGACGCGGCTGTCACATATATGCCACGTGGCTGCCAAATGTCTGCCACGTGGCAAAATAATAATTTTTATTTAAAAAAAAAAAAAAAACCTGAATTAAAAAAAAAAAAAAAAAAACCCAGATCTGCAAGAAGAAGAAGGAAGAGGGAGAGGGAGGAGGGTCGCGCGGGGAGAGGGCTCCGGCGAGGGGGGGAGCTGGTCTCCGGCGGGAAGAAGAAGAAGAAGAAGAAGGAAGAGGGAGAGAGAGGGGTCGCGCGGGGAGACCGGCAAGGGGGGGAGCTGGTCTCCGGCGGGAAAAAGAAGAAGAAGGAAGAAGGAGAGGGAGGAGGGTCGCGCGGGGAGAGGGCTCCGGCGGGGGGGAGCTGGTCTCCGGCGGGAAGAAGAAGAAGAAGAAGGAGAAGAAGTCCGGCCGGGGGGGGGAACGGGCGGAGGGCGGAGGGAGCTTGTTCTTCTTCTGCAGATCTGGTTTTTTTTTTTTTTTTTTTTTTTTTTGTAAAAATTCAGGTTTTTTAAAAAAAAAGTTTAAAAATTATTATTTTTGCCACGTGGCAGACATTTAGCAGTCACGTTATTTAACAGAAGGGTATAAATCCTAACAGACTTAGACCACAGAGGTTTAAATCCGAATTTTTTTACCACAAGAGCTATCATCCGAATATCTTATGACCATTCATCCGATTAGGCCTTTTCTTAAAGTAAATGGTGCACACCTAACATCAGTTAGGTAGACGACGACGATTATGATAACCACGTTTCAACTCTGGCAACTTACTCAGGACTCAATGCAACAAAACTAGTTTCAAATCTGATTACTTTTCCTTCATCAAAAAGCAGCGGTGGCTTTTTATAAATTTTTGTCAGCGTTAGAAATTGAACCTAGATAACATGCAATTTAGATTGTCTCCCTTTTATTGGAAAACTATCTTAAGAGGGGGCTTTTATAAATTTTGCACGGCCCACGAAATCTGGGCCATGCTAAACAGTAATTCTTTCTTCGATACATTCATTACATTTTTTGTCTTTAATCCTTCATCTTATGCAATTTCAACACCAAGGTTGAGATTAATTAACTTTGGTAATAAAAAAGGAGATGGGGAATTTGATTCAATCACCAAATAAACATCACAAATCAAGATTAAACATTACCAAAGTTCAATAAACATATTGAATTGAATTGGCTGAACAAGTTACCTGGAAAGTTATTGTAAGAGCATGAAACCTCCAAGGCGACATGTCGTTGTCGATTGGAGACTTTTGAGGTTGGTAGGTGAGGCAGCAGCACCTGGGTCATGTTTCGGTCCTTCAATCTCGGAGAGAAGGAGGCCGCCGAGCGCGTCCGCAGCCTCCTCGCAACCTTGTCGGAATCCACCCATGTTGAAATTTGCAATCTCGGCGCAACCGTAGCCGCCTCCATACTCATGCTCCCTCAAACAAGACAAGCAGCTCAACAGCTGTGATTCCACCGCCACCGCAATCAGATTAAAACTATTCAATCAATCTCGAAAATAATGTGGTACAAATCTAAAAGAAAAGCGGCGCGCAACAAACAAACATTTGACATCAACAATTTGGATTGGAGGAATATTGGAATGACGAGCGGGGCACGTACCTATACGTATTACCAGAAGCAAGATCGACGACTGAGAGATTTGAGACTTTTTTTCAGGCTATGGTGTTTCTCTCTCTTTTCTCTCTCCTCTCTCTCTCCTCTCTCTCTCTCCACGCCTCTCTGCAAACACAACGTTTTTTTAAAGCGATGTGCCACAGAGCGTATTCTATTTTGTAGTGTACCAGAATTCGGTAGTGATGGTAAAGCAAATTTTTTTTGTTATTTTATTTTATTTTTAAAGGAGGACAATTGGTTACAAATTACATTTATCTTTTTATTGAGCTCAGAGAAGTTATTGGGAATTTCACTCTACTCATACCTATATTTTAGCAGCTTTATCAGCTCAGGGTTTCAAACTCGAAATCTCTCATATTTTTTTTTATTGAAAATTCGCAATCCGTACTATACTATTGGGTCACTTGATGTGATTGGTAATGCGACGGACTACATAATTTGCCAATAGGGTCCTTTTCGAAATCTTTTGGTGAGGATCTTAGAGATCGGTGAATTGTGTCCGTTCATTTTACATCGTGCGGTCAGTTTTTTTCAGGTACTGTTTGTGTTTAATTTTAAATAAAAATATTTAAAATGATTTCTGACATCACGATGTACGATGAACGAATACGATTTAAGAATCTTCAGAATGCTCAGAAAGAGAATCCGGATTCCATAACTTGTACTTGTTATATATTAAAGGGAGCTTTAACGAAAAGCTCTCAGTACTGCTCACTTTAACGAAAAATCATATTTTACACTAAAAAGTCAATTATGGTACTATTCACTTTACTATTTATTTTGTTTTTATAATTAAATCTCAAAGTTTTCAAACCATTTACATTAATTTTCTTATATTAAAATGAATGGTCAACGTGGCAGTGGAATACGGATAAGAATGCCAAGAGGCTGTGACTGTTCCACATGCTACCAACCACGTTGGTATAAAAATGGTGGCGAAGGGGTTTGGTAGCATTAGCATCAACTCACTTGCGGGTCACCGGTCTGCTCTGTTGTTGGTGGGTGGACGTGGACCCTGTAATTTCCATATTTTCAAGTCATTTTTTTTATACCAGCGTTTAATAGTGATATGTTCCCTCATAATCCTACCCGCCGGATACAAAAACAAAGAAAACATTACCGTAGTCGACCCCTAATTTTTTTAAGTAGGCAGCAAAAGCTTTGAATTTGAAAAGTAAAAACTATTCGCCTAATTAGAGCATCTGTCACGTAAATTATAAACTTAATATGACGAAAATAAGCTTTGACGCTGTTAGCTGACCATTATCTCAACCCTAATTTGGTTCACATGCTGACATCATGTCTTAATTTGTAGGACGTGGTCGCCGGCCTCCTTGATACTCTCCCAGTAGGCCATCCGAGCAAATAGGTAAAGACTTTTTTTTTTTTTTTTTTTTTCCTTTTAAATTCCAATAAGATTTCATTCTCGAACAAAAATCGATTTGAAGACTACTCCACCAGTTGATCATTACTTGAAGTTCCTAAATATTAATGTCAGCATGATTGCACTTTGTACATGTGCAACATTGTAAGCTTATGTCATTATCTTGCCATTTTATGTAATTATGCACGTAGGACTTTTGTCCCGCCCAATGTTTAGTTTACTCAACTCTAGCAAAAGCATGCAACATCACCACAAAATAAAGTGTCATTAGCGAGGGTCAATTGCTATTGAAAAAGGTATTATGCCGTCACAAATACTTATTTTTTATGAGAAAAAGTTCTCGATGGGCGTCGCAAATTGTTCCATTGAAATTTTTTTTTTCTAACTAGTCGTCGAAAATACTTTATTATCGACGCACAAGACTTGTCGTTAGTAGTTAGCTTTTCATCGGAAATGAATTTTCAAAATGACAAACTTATTTTATTTTTGACATGGAAATGTGGTAGTAAATAATTATATAGTTGTCGAAATTACTTTCCAAAAGACATGTTTTTTGCGATGATGTTGTTCTGACCAAATAATTGTGTCAGAAATTTTTTTCCAACAAAATAACTTTTATTTGTGAGTACACAATCGTTGCAATTACAATTTTCAACCCTTAACTGCTACTATAGTGTGTCACAAATATTATTTTCATCAGAAAAAAAATAATAATAGACATTTCCAATGGAAATTGAGGCAAGAAATATATGCTTTTTGGTAAAAATTTCACTGAGCATTGTTTAAAGAATATTTTGTATTATCATTAATAAAAACTAATGTATATAAGATCAATATGGTAAAGCCAATACATTTATTACAAACCTAAGATATGTGTTTGAACATATTAACACTAGTCCTAAAACTTCGAAAATGCAAACTTGAATTCTTTTGAAGACGTGTAGGTAAAAGCATCTTCCCTTTTGTACATACAGTGTATGTAGCTCCTTAATCACTCCTTCATATAGCTTTTTCATCACTCATTCATATAGCTCCTTCATGTATCTCACTACTTCATGCAGCTTGCTACAGTTTATGTAGCTCCTTGATCACTCCTCATATCTCACTACACCAAAACCACACAACCACAAGTTTAATTAGGATACCAATATCAGAACAATTCAAAGAATATATATGTGTGTATCTGTGAAAACAAATGTCAAATTAAAGATGATAGGTTGCTTGCCAGGCCTGTCCTTGTCTCATATCCTTGTCTATGGAAAGCATCAATTTTAGATCACAATTTCATGGCAGCCATTTTTCCTCCCAGTGAAAGTGGTACAGAAAAACTCCCCAACAGAGCTAAAGCCAATCAGGTCTGCAAAAATAAATCCTTTAAGGCAAATGCACAAGTAACTGCCCAAATCAACAAGTTATAAAATTTAAAGGAGACAGTAGTAGAGGGACTATTAACAATGAGTAATTCTGTGACAATGAGAACACTTATAATAAACAAATGCAAAGGCATGTTAAAAAATATGCATACTATAAATGAAAAAAAGTTATGAGGTACCTCAAGCTCCTTGTCATTTATTATTCCACAAGTAAAACCTGAAAACCGGTAAAGAGAAGGAGAACTTTAAAAATAACAGATATGAAATAAAGAATAACACCATCAATGAATAATCATGAAACTATTACCAGTCTACCGCCGGACACATTGCAGATATTTGAATATAAGTCACAAAGGCTTGGATTCTCTGCTCACTCATCCTTATCCTTGACCCTTTCCTTAGGCACCTTCACTACGAAAAAATCAAAACACCGAAAGTGAGAACCAATAGCAGAAATGTTCTAATTATAGTCTAAGCCGCACAGAGGAGAGATTTTTCGGTGTGACCGGTACACGGGGTGGTATACCACGTGTTACTACACAAATTGTGAGATATGTGTACTAAAAAGTTAATAACTTAAAAAATAAAATTTCTCACCACTCCTATTAAAACACGTGATGTACCACTTGTGTTCCCGTCACAACTAAAAATTTCTCCGCACACAGAGTTCGCCGTCGCCACTTTTAACACAAAATCTTATCGAAGATGTATGTAAACAAAAAAACACCACTTTCAGCTACAAACCTAAAATTGTAAACACATAAACGGCTTTCCTGCAGAAGTTTAGCTGAAACTAAGAGGCTGGCCAAACATAAACAAAAAATTCCAATCTTTCAACTGAATAATCGAAATAACAGAGGTATACCTGGTTGGTTTTTCTCCTCCCACCCCTGATTTCCTCCCCAATTCTACAGCATCGCCAACTCCCCATTCCTTACCACCAAATTTCATGCCAATTTCCTAAAAATCGGATTTTTCCACCATAATTGAGCCATTCGATGAGAAGCCTCTCAATTCTGCTCTTAAGGTGATGAAATTCAATCGAATTCTCTAAAAAAATTGCTAATCACTCAAATTATAAGTCCAATCTAAAAGAAAAATTGCACCTGCAGCATGAGAAAGAAGAGATTTTTACCTTTTTGGTCCTGATGCAGAGCAATCCAGACGTGGACTTCATCCATGGATTGCCAGAACACAAAAGCCCCCAAAGTCATGGAGAAGTAGGTTACCACGTCCTTAACCATCCTCTTAGCCTTCTCATTTTCTGCTTCTAAATCTCAAATTTAGGCGAGACTCGAAATATATATGTCAGACCTTATAAGATATAAACTGAAAAACAACATGTGTGAGGATTTCATGGTTTCTATCATCATCACGTATGCCTACTACAGGATGGAGGATGGATGCTAGGGTTTTGTTTCTGAAAAGGAAATACAGATAAGCTGCGAGAAAAAGATAATCGACGCTCTCTTTGGAAATAGAGAGTTAAGTTTTTGAGCACCATTCCAAAATTTTGAAAATAGAGAGCTAAAAATAAAGGCGCCATGCCAAAATTTTGGCAGCTCTCCAAAACACACAGTAAGGATTTAATCTCACATAAGTGAGATTAAAACCTACGGTTATTATTGTAGTAAAGTTTTTAAATTAATGTCGAAGTGTGAAAAATATAAGAACAATATACAAACGCTCATGATGACAATCTTTACAATTTTTGTGAAGAGGTCAACTCCGAAATTCACCACTATCAACCCATAAACCGTAGATTAAATTTTAGCCGTTGATTATCGTTTACGTTTACCCTCCATTGTTCTCACATAATTTCGTTTCTCAAATTTTCTTTTTAGAAAACATAATCTTCTAGTGAATTCAAAAGCATGAATGGTTTGGATCATTGATATCACGTTCAGATTTTTACGGTTAGTAAAATTATTGCTTTGAGTTTATAAAGTCTATAGAAACTATATAACATCGACTCATATTTCAGTTAACCGTAAACATCGGAACGTGATATCAACGATCTAAACCGTTCATTTGTTTGCATCCGCTAAAAAGATCATGTTTTCAAAAAACAAAATCCAATGAGAAAAATAAAGCGTAAATGACAATCAACAGTTAAATATAAATCTAGGATTTATGGATTCTGGTGTCAGATTTCGAATTTGACCCCTTCACGAAAGTTGTAAAGCTTGTTATTACGAGTGATTGTATATATTATTTTTTGTACATTTTTCGCACTTCTACATTAATTATTATGAGCGTTTGCATTATTTTTTTTTTCACATTTTTCACACTTGTAAATTAATTATTATGAATTTTTTCATGTGCTTTGGTATCTTAAAATTGCTTTGGAATTTTTTAATCTCACGTATGTGATATTAAGAATAA